GTTCATGCTTATATACCCTATGGAACGTCAAAATCCTTAAAAAAATGTCAAAATTTTGATGTTATAAATATCATAAACTATAACTCAGTTTCATTTTGGGAACAAAATCTTGCTTTTGTGTGTTGTTTTTGCATTTATATGTTTTAAATTATTTGAAATGGAAAAAAATTATTAACGAAAATTACCTACCGTTTGATTAAAAACAGTATGAGACACGAGAGGAGAATAAATTTGAAAACCAAGAGACTTCAAGATGACTTCAAAGGGTTGGTAGATGAAATGAAAAATGATCCATAGATAAGTTTCTTCTTCACTTCCTCTCTCTAATTTCTCCATTGAAACTCTTTTATGAATGTAACTTAGGCAAAGAGATCGATATATATATAGACGATTGTGTTGTATGAGTATGACAAAGAAGTGTTAGGATTAGACTTCCCTACGATTTGATTATTTATACGTTTAAAACTCGATTATTCACTTGTCCTGTTTAGCGGTTTATTATAAGTTATTTTTGTGGAAATTTTTTCCATTTAATAAAATGTAGAGTGGTGTTTAAGAAAATATAAACACGCAAGCGAATGTCTTTGACGTTAGCATGTAAGAAAACCACAGTTATATAGTCAAAGCATATTTCCCTTTCCTTTTTTAAGAACTGAACTATTACCAAAAAAAAGGGTATGATTTCATTATTTTTTGGCAGGATTTTCAATTTCGATGTCAGTTTGATGGTATAACGATTACTAACTAATAATGTTTGTAAAATTGTTAAACAAAAAAAGTCACGTAATTCTGGTCAGATAACACTCGTTTATTAAAAAAGAAATGTGGTCAAATATTGTTGTCTCGGAAAAAAAGAGGAAACAAACATTAACAACGACTTCTTGGAGTTGGATATTGCATTCGTCTCTTGGATTTTTTTAATTGTCTGGTTTTCGATTCCACGACCTTTTTTTTTTTTTTGGTGGAGTATCTTTTGTTTGACTAACAGGTTTTCTAGAACTTTTGACCTAAAGTTTTTGTTTAAGCCAAAAACAAAAAAC